ATCTCGCGCCCCACTTGTGCTGGGCATGGAGCCTCTCCCACTCCCCCTGCTTGTGTTCCCTCTCTCGCTGTGTCTCTCTCTGTCAAATAAATAAATAAAATCTTAAAAAAAAAAAAAAGAATTTAAGAGGGGTGCCTGGGTGGCTCAGTTGGTTAAGCGTCCGACTCTTGATTTTGGCTCAGGTCAGGATCTCGCGCCCCACTTGTGCTGGGCATGGAGCCTGTTTAAGATTCTCTCTCTCCCTCTCCCCGTGCCCCTTCCCCCCTGCCCCCCCCACTTGCACATGCATGTGCACTCTCTCTCTCTAAAAAATAAAATAAAAATAAAAGAATTTAAGAGAAAGCCTTTACTCCAGGGATATGTCAGATCTATTACAAGGTATGATCTCTCTGGAGTCTCCACCAAATGCTCCAGATGATCACTGAAGAGTCTCCACTCTTCTTGGCCAGAACTTGAACATCTCCCAGTCCTGTGTGAGCTCCGAAAACGGTTCTGCTTAAAACTTCCCAGTTGTTCTTTGCTCAGTGTAGCCCTCCTCCAGTTTCTGGAGCTCTTTCTCCACACAGTTTCCTCATCGCTGGTACTCTGTCCTACACATTCCAGCTGTGAATTCAGCCTCTGTGAACTCTGACCTCCAGGTCTTCACCCCAGGAACCTTCTTTGCTTTGCTTGGGTCCCTCTTCCCTGCTCCATGTTTTGGACATCTCATTTATTTCCTTCTCTCTAATATCGTGGTCATAAGCTGCCTCTTGTCTAATTGCCTAAAATTAGTTGTTTCATATATATTTGTCTAGATTCTAGTTGTTCATGGTAGATGATTAACTCCAGATTCTGTTTCTCCTGCATTTCCACGAGCTTTACTTTTCTATGTTTTCCAAACTTTCAGAAATCATTATAAGTCAATTTTTGAACAAAATATATGAAGCAAAAGTTTATCACAAAGAAAAGTGACATGCATGTGTGTGCATATTTCCAGGGCTTAGTTTTGGCTGATGGGCAACGTCTGCTGTTGGGTCCACTTCTTCAGGCTTCAGACTCAGACCTTTGCCCAGGGCTCCTGGAAATCCACCAATTCACCTCATGATCATCTGTATTTCCTTACTTACCAGTATGCATACTTTGGGGGGACAATGTGGCCAGAGTCAAGGAGAAGTAGCAAGCAGAATTTCACGGGGTTCCTGAGTTGGTTTGTTTCCCCCGCGCTTTAAATTCTACAGTGTTGCCATAGTCTCTTCTGGTCACTAGAGGGCGTTCCTGCACCAAGAATAACCCGCTCATCCCCCCACCCGCTGCGTCGTTTTTCACCAGTTCTCTGTACATCAGGCCTTGCTAGATCCTAGTTCTCTGGGGGTAGTCAGGGCTCGTGTTGTTATAGGGCCCGAGGTGGCCTGTTTCCCATCCCTGCAGCACCAGATATGTTACTTTCAAAGGCTCTCTCTTCTCTCTTATCCCCACTCTCAGAATAACTCAGCCTGGCCTCTCAGCAGGCCTCCTAGCACCAGAGTGACCCTATTTTTTTCCCTTTTAGCTAGTGGCCAGTGGGGAGAGTTCTGGGTCCCTGAGTATTCCTCTTTTGCTGAGACTTTCTCAAAGGTCCATTATACAGATTGAGAAACAGAGAAATGGATTCCCCAATAATGCCGTATGCTGCAAAGTTTCTCGGGGCGGGGGGCACTCCTGAACTCTGACAAGTTTTTCTATGTAAGAGGTTAGCCCTAAATTGGACCTCTCTTGCCTGAAAAGGAGAGGTCTGGAAGAGGGTAATAAGCACGGAGACAGTAAACAGGGTTTGGGCTCCTAATTCCTGGCATATACCAGGGAATTAATAAATATTTATTAAATAAATGGGAAAAATGAGGGAGTGAATGGAGGTCAGAATAAGAAAACTAAGGGGCATCCATCAAACCTTTTTTTTTAAATCTCCTCTCCTTCTTTTAAAAAGCAGCTTTATTGAGCTATAACTGATATACAAAGAACTACCCATATTCAATGTACACAATTAGATGGGTCTGGACATGTGCAAACACCCATGATACCATCACCACAAAGTAATAGACATATCTAACACCTCCCAAACCGCCCTGGTACCCTTTGTTTCTTTGCTTTTTGTGATAAGAACACTTAACACGAGATCTACCTGCTTAACAAATTTTGAAGGGTATAATACCATATCGTGAGCTCTAGGCTCAATGTTGTACAGCATTATCTCTAGAACTCATTCATGTTGCATAGGTGAAACTTTTCTATTAGAACAAATAAAGACCGTAAGAGCCAGGACTTGAACCTGGCGTTCTGATTGCTGGTCTCTAGTTTTCCCAGCTCTAGTATGCAGCACAAAGCCCTTGGATATTCACGTCCCTGGGAAGTTGGTAGCAGCAGGTGTAATTGGTTTTCTTGTGATGAGTCACTGTCAGTGCTGCCTGGAAACCAGTACTTTTCCTCTGTGCAGGCATCTCTAGTTCTCCGCTCTGATTGCTTGCGCAAGAATTGCTCTTTGCCACCCATGCTGCACGCTGGGGGTGCTATTGTTTAACGAGTGGGCTTATTTGTTCAGTTATTTTCCACTTGTGTCTTTGGGGTGCCCAGATGTAGGTTGGAGGCCATTCAGATGTTTTCAGGTGTGTCTAAGCTTGGCCTCTAACACTCTGGCCCCTGGAGCCCACCCCCCTCAGGCTTCTGCCCATAGTAATAGGCCACCGGTCTCTGGGGGACCGTCTCAGATCACTTAAAGCATTGACTCTTAAGCATTTGGGAATTATGGACTCCTGAGAATCAGAAAAGGACACATATGCACAAAATGTGGCACACCATTCAAGGCTGCTCAGCAGTTTGTGGGCCACTGATTAAAAGCCCCTGCTTTTCTTGGACATTTATTCTCTAAGAAAATGTGAACATATAAACCATGTTAGTATCCCTTGACGCATAGGGATGACTGTATTTTGGAGAAGCAACAAAATTTCCCCCAAGGAGTGGGATAGTATTTGGGGGTGGGAGGTAGAGGATTTTAAATACCCCAAAGGAAGTCTTCTCCCAGAGGTGCCCTCTGTCCTTTGGGGAGCTCGGACAGGCGTGACTGTGTCATTATATTCTCACCAGCACAGATGAGTCAGTCAACGTAGAAGTAACCACATAGCATTTTTTTTAACCGTATCATTCTTTTTAATGTCCAGCGTTTACAATACGAGGCCAGAGCTTTCTCCCCAACTCAAGTTTATAAATTCTCAGTTGGCTTGTGAGGCCAGTAGGGATACTTCTTCTTGTCTAATTTGGTTTCTGAGAAGACTTCATTCAGGTCCTCCGTGGTCATCTGATCAAATGGAATTATGTTCCTCATCTTCTCCAGCTCTTTTTCATATTCCTCAATCCTGGCCTTTGAGAGAGAAAAAACTCGGCACAACTTTTCACATCTTCTTCTTCTTTCTTTCTTTTTGTTTTTTAAGATTTTATTTATTTATTTGACAGAGAAAGACACAGCGAGAGAGGGAACACAAGCAGGGGGAGTGGCAGAGGGAGAAGCAGGCTTCCCGCCGAGCAGGGAGCCTGATGCGGGGCTCGATCCCAGGACCCTGGGACCATGACCTGAGCCGAAGGCAGACGCTTAACATCTGAGCCACCCACGCGCCCCTCACATCTTCTTTTTCTTCAGCATCCACCTGAACAGTATATTTATCCTCTGGCACAGGACCCTTCAGGGCATTAAACTTCTCCAAGTCATCTACCAAACCAGCCTTCGCCACATTGGCCTTGTCGTAAGCCCAGTCGATAGCAGGTGGTTTCTTAGGAAGAGTAGCCAACCTGGAGGTAAGTGTCTCATTCCAGGATTTCAGGGAGTTAGCAATGGCCTTCTGGTTTCGGGGTATGATCTCCCCAAAAGCTACCCAGTCAATGGTTTTTAGAGCAAGTTTTCGCGCAGCCATCTTGAGATCCTTCACCGACCCCAGCGGCCCCAACCACATAGCATTTGATGTGACTTTCAAACTTGCTCATTCCCAAGTCAGGAAGATCTTTCAGAAAGTCTGCTCACCATCCCCACAGGGCAGTGACCAGTTTCAGGGGCTTCACCTGTGAAGATGATTTGGCTTGTTTGCAAGCCTCTTTCAGAGAGCACAGGGGACAATCTCTCTCCCACTGCTCTACAATTAAAGCGAGCATGGAGTTCTCATTCTTATTCAATGAGCATCTGTAATTCAAACAGCCTGAGGGAATGCCTCAGATGTAATATTGTCTCAGCAAACGAAGGAAATCTTCTCTTGGAACACCTCATCACTGCAACTTTGCTGCAGGCTCCATCTGATAAATGTATAGAAAAACAAAGCTCACCTGTTTCTTTTTTAATTCCCCCACTTTTTTGTGCAAGTAATTAAGTAAACCCTGCTTGGTGTTTGTGTGTGCATGTGTGTGTGGTGTTTGTGCCCTTCGCCCAGCTCCAGGGAATCTCCCTAATTCCTTAGACTCTTGAGCCCTTTGCTGTCCTTGTAGTGTCCAGAAATGCAGCATCTTTATCACTTTTTAAAAATTTCTTTTTAATTTTACACTTCATCATTCTTTGAATCCTCACAGTGAGATACTGGGCTTTTAGAAAGTGATAATTTCATTCTGCAAAATTTGGGTGGGAACATTCCAGCTTCCAGAGGGTTCCCACTTTCCCTGGTCCATTAAGTGGAGCCAGCCCACCTGTGTATCTCACTACAGGGAACCCCAGACTCCACAGCAATACATATGACCCAAGCCTCTATGGTACTCCAGGCCCTATGCAGGGGCAGCTACAAACCCAGGGAGGAAAGAAGCAAGGCCCCTGGCCCAGATGGGCTCCTTTCTAGGTTGGGGACAAGGAGGCCTGGAGAGAACAGTGAGGCATAGGCTGGGAGAAGAGCAGGAACAGAACACCAAAACTGAAGTCTTCTTTTTAGAAAGATGACAAATGGCTAATTTGGTTGTTCTTGCTCTATGCTGCTGGAACTGAGCCCTTGAGTGATAATAATACAGGAAGGCAGGAAGCTACTCTCAACAACATGAACCTTGTTCTTTTCCTGACCCCTGGCAAGCTGCCCTGTGTGCATATGACCCTCACTGCAAATTCCACAAGGGTTCAGGCAGTCAGGTGCATCTGAAAATAGAAGGGGCTCCATTAGCTTAATACGAAGCATGACAGGCTGCGAATCACTTCTTCTTGTCTGAAGGGAGTGCAGGTAATTTTCACTCCAGCATAGATTGAGCCAGGACAGACTGCTAGCAGGGTCCTCTGGGTTCACACATCCCTGGTGTCAGCTGTGGCCAGATGCTCTCATGTGGGCCTTTGAACCACCGCTACATGGCTTGTGAAAACCAATCATAAAAGAGAGAACTCTGAGACAGTTGTCACAGTGCCATTGTAAACAACCATGAAATACATCTATGAACCAATGATGGCGGGTATTTAGCAAAAGAAAGGAAGAACACTGCCTATTAGATCACAATATGCACAACAGTATTTAAAGTACTACTGATTAAAATCTTTAAATCTTTTATAGACTTGGTGTTGGAGTGGGTACGGGGAGACAGTCTCAACCATACACTGTTAGTGGCAAGGAAAACTGGCATTGAAGTGATGCTTGTACTAGTGAAAAGCTGGAAACAGTGTAAATCTCCATCTAGACATAAATGGTGGTGCATCCATATTTGAGAACAGTATGAATCTGTTAATGAAAATGAGGTAGCTAGCACCGTTTCAAGTGTTTTGTGTACATTAACTCATTTAATCCTCACAGTGCTTTACAAGGTCGATCCACTTTACTTACATCATTGGATGAAAAGAAACAACTTACTGAAGAGTGTGTATAGGAGGATTTCAAAGGGTAAGGAAAAAGGGACTGTATCCACACTCATGCATGGACAGCGTTTACAAGGACCCCAAGAGAATGCTAGCAGTGATTCCTTCTGGGAGGGGGCAGTGTGACTGTGGGATTGGTGAGGAGGCAGGTTTTTAAGCCACTCTATTAGATTCCTGTGGCTGTCATAACAAATTACCACAAATTCTGTGGCTTAAACCAATGGGAATTTATTCTCTTACATTTCTGGAGGCCAAAAGTCTGAGATTAAGGTGCAAGCAGGGTCATGCTTCCTTTGAGGACTTCTGGGGGAAGATTCCTTTGCTGGCATTCCTTGGCTTGCTGCTGTATCACTCCAAGCTTGGTCTTTGTCTTCATGTGGCATTGTCCCTGTGTGTCTCTGTTTTCACTTGGCCTTTCTGTAATGACACTAGGCATTGGATATAGGGCCCAACCTAATCCAGTATGACCTTATCTTAACATAATTAATTATATCTGCAAAGACCTTATTTCCACATAAGGTCACATTCTGAGATTTCAAGTGGCATTGAAGTGATGCTTGTACTAGTGAAAAGCTGTGAATTTTGGGGGGCTAGGGCTGCCACACTGGTTAACAAAACACCAGACTGGGTGGCTTAAACAACAGAAATTTATTTTCTCACAGTTCTGGAGGCTGGAAGTCCAAGATTAAGGTGCCAGTTGGGTTGATTTCTGAGAGGTATTTCTTCCCGCTTTGTAGATGGCCCCTTCTCATTCTGTGCTCACATTGTCTTTTCTTTGTGCGTGCACATGCACACACACACACACACACACATCTGGCCTCTTCTTATTCTTATAGGGACATCTGTCCTATCAGATCACGGCCCTGAACTTATGACCTCATTTAACCTTAGTTAGCTCCATAAGGGCCCTCTCTCCAAATATAGTCACATTAGGGGTTAAGGCTTCAACATATGAATTTGGGAGGGTGGGGACACAATTCGGTCCATAACACTATTCAACCCAGTAGTAGTTGTGTGGTCCTGGGTAAATCACTCAACCTACCTACCTGGCTGGGGCTCAAGCACAGACTTTTCAATTAGCATGGGAAGGCCATTTGCAAGACCTTGGCTCCTGCCCTTTCCATGTTCTTGTTTCTCTAATACCTTGTTCTGAGAAATCCCCCTTAGCGCTGCCCTCTGGTCCCCTCCTGGCAGCTTTCTCCTGTCCTCTGTTGCCTAGCACTGCCCAGACTGCATCCATTATAAATTCAGCTGGCAGAGCCTAGGCTGCATCCTCATAGCTTCTCAATAATCCTTGTCTTCATTATCTGCATTCTGGTCTTGGGACCATCTTGCCCACAGCTGCCTTTCCACATCTTCTCCTCCTCTGGCTACTGCCCTCTTTCTTCCTTATTCCATTGCATATCTTCTCAACAGAGTGGTCTTCACACTCTCTTTCCACTTCCTCACTGACTCCTTTATTCATAATCCTGGAAATCTAGCTTCTGTCTTCCCCTGCTTTGAATTGTTATCTGTGACCCCCTAATTGTCAGATCCAATGACATTTCCTCAGTCCCCACTACCCTCAGTATCTCAGCTTTATCTGACTCCATAGATTGCCTCTTCTGCCTAGACATTCTGTGCCCACCATTCCCAAATACACTGTAATCTCTGGTTCTGCTCTGATCTCTCTGCGTGCACCTTTCTGTTTATGTGAGAGCTCCTTCCACTCCTCCTTTCCATGTCCAACTCAAACAGGACTCCAGAAGAGGATCCAGATAAACGGACAGGAGAATGAGGGGAATTACTCACCCCTTGGCCAGGAGAACCTAGTAGCATCCAGATCCCACAGGTAGGGCAAGGTTATGGCAGTGCATGTGCTAGCTGGAGATTCAGGAGCACCAAATGGTGGTTCTCCATCCCCTCTAAAGTCCGAACTTCTCAGTCCTCATTCAGTAGAAAACTATTGGCTGGGCTCCTGAGTGTAACACTCTAAAGAGTTATGAAAAACCTCACCATAAATCAGCCCAAACTGCCTCCTTCCCTGTGACAGGCCTTGTACCAAGGCAGGAATGCCTATCTGAATTTGGTCCTTGTCACTATACTGAGCCTGGCACTATGCTAAGACTGGTGAGGGACATGGCAGTAGACAAGACACACATGGTCTCTGTCTTTTTGAGCTTATATTCCATTGGAATAAAATGACATTTATTAAGACCTTTTCCAACCTGGCCCCAATCTACTTCCCTGACTTCAACTTCTGCTCTTCCTTCTACTCTTGGCTTCACTCTCTGCCCATATGTCAATCTTCCATAGTGATGAGGCACCATCTGCCTAGAGTATCTTTCTTTCTTTCCCCCTTTTCCTACCAGGCAAGCTCCTCCATCTCTCCTTCTCCCCCTTTAAGGCCTGGGCTTTCTCAGAGTATGTCAATTACTCCATCTTGAAAGTATTTCAGGTGTACTGTCCACAAGTCTAGTTCTTCTACAGCACAGTGTAGGGGCAAATCTCTGATTTAAGGTGATGCTTGTCATAACTCTTCAGTCTTAGATAGAATTGCCTTAGCACAGGCAGAGGTAGCTCTTGACCTGGGACCTGTTCTTTAAGAAGTGACATGGCTGGAGGAGGGCCAGAAAAATATCTGCTAAAATGAATGGCCATGGCCGGGGTAAGGAGCCCAAAGGATCAAGAGACTGTGCTAGACCACAGCTGATATTCCCTCTTTTAGGCCATGCTCAAGTTACCTGGGACCACAGAATTCCTTGCCTGAACTGCTCCTGGCTTGCTTCCAGGTATACCTTCCTTAGGGTGGACTGAACCAATAATATGCACAAAGTTAGCCCCAAAAGGAGGCCAAGAGGCAGCTGTTTGGGGAAATGTAGACAAAGTGTAGACATGCATGCTCAGGCATCCACAAGCATGTAAATGAAGTCCCTTGCAGTGCTGGATGCAGTGGGAGTATGAAGAGAAGGGGAACAATCTCAAACCAGGAGTTGGGGGCTGACTCTCCAAGCACCAAGTTCAAACATAGCATTCTGAGGAGTCTAAAAAGTTTAAATTTGAACCTACCCTTCTGCTCATTTGGAAGGTCCAATTGTCAAGTCAGAAAGAGGAGCAAAGGGGGCACCT